TATATGATTTAATCGACCTTCAGAACCATATTGAAAGGAGTATAATTGAATGTCTTGCCTGTGTTTACGATGTATACAATATAGAAAATCTTATGCACTATATAATGAGACCCGCAGATAAACATAAAATCACACCCTGTTTTGTTGGAACCCTTATGTAACGGAGCACCTGTGTCAGCTGGTCATACCTTTTTCCAATTAGAGGTATATAATTGACTATTATAATTTTAATTGTATGAATAAATGAATGATTTTATTCTCATAAACTAACACATAGCTACAGAGAAAATGGTTGTGAAAGGTATGTACTTTTACAACAGATCGTGTGTTTCAGTGATGTTGTTTTCCAAATTAAAGTGTTATTTCTATTTTCATGATAAAGCATTCAGCAGTTATATGTGACCTTTGTTAAATGTTCTTATATATCCTAATGGCATCGTGCCATTGTGTCAATATCGTCCAAGTTACCAATGCTGCTACCTTTTATGTTTTTTAAAAGTGGTATGATAAAGATATTGCCTCGCACATATATATAGCATGCTATTCAGTTTTTAAGGAATCATCCTCTGTTGTCAGCTTCATCTAGGATACCACACTGCTACCTTACTTGCTGCTGGAAGAACTGTTAACATGCTCAACCTTCTGGGCTAGACAACTTCATATATATATTTTATATAACTATGTATATTATTATTATTTTTCCCCTCAGTATATAATTATATTATATCATCCACACTTGCATTGTGTATTATAAAAGCTTGAGCTGCTTAAATATTTACTTACAAAGTAATTACAGACTCTGGACTTATGACAGGCCGTGACATACAGAAAATGGTGGCGTTTATCGTGTTTGCGGGATCCCAACTCTCTCCTTACCTTAACCTGGGCAGTAGTGTAACAGCACAACAAAGAAGAACAAACTATAAAAAATCAGTTGAAAAGGACTAAACTCATCAGATCGATACAACGCAAAATAATCAAGTCACTGAGTTTTACTATGCGTATTGCTGTGTGTTTCTTTATTCTACATTGGCTAGAGATATAGGGGGAGGGTTGAGATCTCACAAAACATGTTTGCGCCTATCCCAAGTCAGGAGCCTCCAGGGGCGTTTCTAGGATATTTGAAAGAGGGGGCGTAGAATGAAATATTTTGCCGAGCGGAGCGATGCGAAAAAAATTTTGGACCCTTTTTTTGCTACAAAACATAAAATAATTAATGAATATGATAAATTGCCATATTCAATACAATATTAGTAGATTACGATAGCTTTTTTTTTTTTTTTTTTTGAAAAGGGGGGCGTACGCCCATTACGCCCTTACCTGCACCCGCCCCTGGCCTCTGGCCTTTATTAGTTTTGTATGTTTTTTAATTTTAGTTCATTTATATGTTTTGGAGTTTAGTATGACGTCCATTTTCACTGAACTAATACACATTTTTATTTAGGGGCCAGCTGAGGCCCACCTCCGGGTGCGGGGTTTTCTTGCTGCGTTGAGGACCCATTTGTGGCCTTCGGCTGTTATCTGCTCTTTGGTCGGGTTGTTGTCTCTTTGACATATTCCCCATTTCCATTCTCAATTTTACATAAACACCGAAAGACACAAAAAAAAAAGATCTGTGAGTATTTGCATTCATTGGAAGTTCCAAGCCGAGAACAACTAATAAAAAAATCATGAATCCAAGACAAAACGTTTCTTCTTTTTATTATATCAGCATGTGAAGCGATTGACGCCAAGTGATGGGAATAGCTCAAAAGGACAGTTCATGAAAAATTACTTCAAATTGGGCTGTCAAATTTTATTACAAATTTCGTGGTAGATAGAACTTGACCAGCGAATCATGATAGTTACACCTTGTCAGTTTTGCTATGGCTGCTTTAGTTTCTGGAAATTTACCTTTATGTTTTATTTTTAGGAACAGTAGCCATATGTTTGTTGATGGATCAAATCACTGGATATAAGGTTAAAACAAGATTCCATCAGGAACATCGAGATAAGTTTCAAAAGGGTTTTATTCAAAAAAGTTACAAGGGCGGGCACAAAGTGATGGCAATAGCTCACGTCCTTTTGGGGCAGGTGAGCAAAACGTGTTTTGGATTAACCTTCCAAACATTATAGAGTGGGTAGGTTGGAATTATCTTTTAGTCCTAAAACCTGTTTTCATCAGTCTGGTTCTGGTATTATACACCGCACTTTACCAATACTTCTGCCATTTGCATTGAACCAAGTTATGATGTTTAAATCTTTTTTTTCCAATTCTGTCAGATGTTTTGTGCAAATATGTTAGGGATTACAATTGATAATTTGGCCGTTTTTGAAAGAATTATAAAAACATTATGGTCGACATTCAAATTGAGGGTCAGCAGTCGAGAAACCCTCAACGTGTACCTTATTGGTTACCACATTTTCCTTCAAAAACCCATTTAGGGAGCTACCATTTGATTTTTATGGGGGGCTAGGATGAAAAATTTTGTCCTGCCTTTTTATTTTTCACTCAATTCGGTCTTGCCTTTTTTTTTTAATTTATCCTGACATTTTTATATAACTAAATTGTCATCCTGCCTTTTTTTTACTCAAAACTCCTGTCCTGCCTATTTTTTTCAAATTTCATCCTAGCCCCCCCCCCCCCCCCCTCATAAAAATCAAATGGTAGCTCCCGTAGCAGGTACATGTATTACTTAAGAGAACTGCTTTATTAATGAAATGTTATGTGCCATCTTGACTTTGCTACACTGATGTGATACTTCAGTGAAAGCTTTGAACCTCTGAATCTAATTGACAAACTGTTGACACAGAGATATGTCTAGCCTTTTTGTAATTTTGATAGTATATTGAAATATTGAATCCAAATGGCAATATTTAAACATGTGCCGGTAAACTATGCAAAACATTCAAAGTCAATGAACCATGACTTAAGGTGTACTAGGACCAAATAACCACCATGGAAATTAGAAATACAAATCCTTAAAAAACTGCATACCAAATACCATTGACTTATCATAAGTGGTTACCTTAACAATAACCTAAACTCAAGCTTAACTTGTAAACAATGTAAAAACTTCAAAGTCAATGAACACTGAAAGGGGTGGGGCTAAATAATATCCATGTTGAAGACTTGCTTATGCTAATACTATCATTGACTTAACATAAGTGGTTCCTCTAAAACTGATCTAAGCACAAACTTTAACATATAAACTATGCAAAACATTCAAATAGACCATGACTGAGGGGACGGAGCCAAATATCTCCATGGAAATGAGATCTGCCAATGCTTATGCATCTGCATACTGAATATCATTGACCTACCACAAGTGGTTCCCCTTAAACTGACCTAATCACAAACTAATACATGTTGAGTATGCAAAAGTTTCAGTCAATAGACCATGACTGAGGGGGCAGGGCCATATTATCTTCATGGAAATGAGATGTGCCAATGCTAATACAACTGCATACCAAATATCATTGACCCTTCACTAGTGATTCCCCATAAACTGACCTAATCACAAACGAATACATTGTTGACGCTGCTGTGGACGTTTAAAACAGCATTAAAAAGACAAACAACAAGAATGTGTCCATAGTACACGGATGCCCCACTCGCACTATCATTTTCTATGTTCAGTAGACGTGAAATTAGGGTCAAAACTCTTATTTTGCATTAAAATCAGAAAGATCATATATATATTTAATAATAGTACGGAAGCACATGTATATGTTTTGGTAAAACACGTGTGTTTGTTTACATCAACACATGTTTTTAGAATACCTGTAATGTTTACAATGTATTCCATTGGATGAAATTCGTCGCATTGCGAATTTAAAACAGGTATTCTATGTATCGTATGATTTTGGCTCGTGTTTCTCGTGCTTGCTGTTTGATATAAATTAAATGTAATTTATAATGTTATTATTCGAAGTTCTGCCTTACGCTGAGTAGCATACTCCGTACTACTGCCTTGCCTGTATTAAGCCCCCCACCCCCCCCCCCCCCCCCCCCACCACCATCATCAAGACCATCTATTGTTTTTATGTGGAAAGTAATGTTTTACTTATAATGATTTATTTAAGTTGTATTTCTTGTTTTGTAGATTGGTGTATATTTGTATGTATTAATGGTTGGCTGACTGTGATCGAGCCTGTATGACTGTTTTTATACCATATTAATAACGACTGAGAATAAGCCGTAATGTGCTTAAAATGAACTTTGAAACGAACTGTTTGATTTATATTATACATTGGTTAATAAAAAGTATGCTACCCTCACAAGGAGAGCTCATTTCTGATACATGTGTTGAGTTTTATTGCATAAATAATTTATGTTCGTTTAAGTCTGGCGAATTAGAACATAACATAGGGAACATGTGTACTAAGTTTCAAGTTGATTGGACTTCAACTTCATCAAAAACTACTTTGACCAAAAGCTTTAACCTGAAGCGGGACAGAGGGACGGACGAACGAACGCAAAGACCGAAAAACATAATGCCCCTCTACTATAATAGGTGGGGCATAAAATTTGAAATTGGACATTTACCTATTATGGTCCAATATCCAAAATCTAAGTACATTGTTAGATTCAGCATTTCAAAGAACCCCATAAATTCAATTTTTATTGAAATCAAATAAAGTTTAATTTTCGACCCTGATTTGGACCAACAGTAGGCAACTTGAAAACTGGGCCCAAAAATCCAAAATTTAAATACAGGACTAGATTCAGCATTTGAAATAACGGTTAATAACTAACCCTATATATATATTCAATTTATGTTGAAATGAAACACATTTTAATTTTGGACCAACTTGAAAATGGGGTCCAAAATCAAAAATAAATCTGTCACTCCAATTATAATTTTGTTAGTTGATAATTACCACATTTGTTATCTTGATAAAAGGTGGAAATAATTGCACGAATAAATTAATAGTAAATACATTGATCTAATCCAAATGTGTATATTTAGTTGATTGTAAAATCGATCATACAAATTGTGTGTAGATTTATAGGAAAAACAAACATAAGACTATTATCTAATGAAAATGATATTTGTAAACCTGGACCCCCAATTGGATCAAATAAAAAATATTTGCAAATTTGGATCCCCAAACAAGATCAAGTAAAAACAAGTGAAATTGCGAGCTACTGCTCACTGCTGATACCCTTGCCGCAATTGAATAATTCTAATAGTGTAGAAATTTGTAAGTGTTTGGTAAACAGGAAGTTGTTGAGTGATGAATCTGAAACGCATCATATGGTATAGCTGACTTATATAAACCCTGAAACACAGAATGAATGTGATCTAAGAACTTAGAAAATTCTAATTTAGCTATTCAAACCATATCATTATTATTTCCTTTTATATATAAATCAGAAATAACCAATTTAAAATGAAAAATTTTAAAGAAAAAAAAGGAAACCCCCCCCCCAAATTTTTTGAACCCCCTTATGATTCATCACCCCCAAACTCAATCTCAGCCTTCCCTTTGTGGTATGGTACCTTGCAGTACAATTTCAGAGAGATCCATACACTTGAACACAAGTTATTGTCTGGAAACTAGAATAAAATGCTCCACAGGGCGCAGCTTGATACGACCGCAGAGGTCGAAACCCTGAACAGTTGGGGGAAGTATGGACACAACATTCAAGCTTGATACAGCTTTGGATTTGGATTGTGATTAAATATTTGACACAGCATAGGTTTCTAACACAGATTGAATGTGGTCTAAGAACTTAAAAATTTTAAATTAGACATTCACCTATTATGGTCCAATATCCAAAATCTAAATACATGGTTAGATTCAGCATATCAAAGAACCCCAAGAATTCAATTTTTGATGAAATCAAACAAAGTTTAATTTTGGACCCTTTTGACCTCAATGTGGACAAAGTTGATAACGAGGCCCAAAAATCAAAAATCTAAATACATGGTTAGATTCAGCATATCAAAGAACCCCATATATTCAATTTTTGTTGAAATCAAACAAAGTTTAATTTTGGACCCCGATTTGGACCAACTTGAAAACTGGGCCCATAATCAAAAATCTAAATACATGTTTAGATTCAGCATATCAAAGAACCCTAAGAATTCAATTTTTGTTAAAATCAAACTAAGTTTAATTTTGGACCCTTTGGACCTTAATGTAGACCAATTTGAAAACGGAACCAAAAATTAAGAATCTAAATACACGGTTAGATTCGGCATATCAAAGAACCCCAATAATTCAATTTTTGATGAAATCAAACAAAGTTTAATTTTGGACCCTTTTGACCTCAATGTGGACAAAGTTGATAACGGGGCCCAAAAATCAAAAATCTAAATACATGGTTAGATTCAGCATATCAAAGAACCCCATATATTCAATTTTTGTTGAAATCAAACAAAGTTTAATTTTGGACCCCGATTTGGACCAACTTGAAAACTGGGCCCATAATCAAAAATCTAAATACATGTTTAGATTCAGCATATCAAAGAACCCTAAGAATTCAATTTTTGTTAAAATCAAACTAAGTTTAATTTTGGACCCTTTGGACCTTAATGTAGACCAATTTGAAAACGGAACCAAAATTTAAGAATCTAAATACACAGTTAGATTCGGCATATCAAAGAACCCCAATAATTCAATTTTTGATGAAATCAAACAAAGTTTAATTTTGGACCCTTTGGACCTCAATGTGGACCAATTTAAAAACGGGGCCCAAAATCCAAAAACTAAATACACGGTTAGATTCAGCATATTAAAGAACCCCATGAAATCAAGAATAAAACCCCATTGAAATTGGTCAAGAAATAAGCAATTTATGGGAAGTATCTTCTTTTGCACAATCCTGTGCTATTAAATATTTCTTGCTATTGCGCAATACTGTACAATTGACAATTTCTTGCTATTGCGCAATATTGTGCTATAAGATATTTCTTGCTATTGCGCAATACTGTGCAATTGAAGATTTCTTGCTATTGTGCAATACTGTGCAATTGAAAATTTCTTGCTATTGCACAATACTTATTATATAATAATTTACACATCCTGTTTGGTGTGTATCTCCTACCATATCATTATTATTTGATTTTAAATATAAATCAGAAATAACCAACTTAAAATGGAAAATTTTAAAAGAAACAAAAAAGGAAAAAAAGAAAAAAAAAGAAAAAAAAAATAAATCCCCCCCCAAAATTTTTTGAACCCCCATTATGATTCATCACCCCCAAACTCAATCCCAGCCTTCCCTTTGTGGTATGGTACCTTGCAGTACAATTTCAGAGAGATCCATACACTTGAACACAAGTTATTGTCTGGAAACTAGAAAAAAATGTGTTTTTTGGCCCCAAATTCCTAAACGTTTAGGGCAATTACCCCCAAACTCAAACCCAGCTTTCCCTTTATGATATGGATCCTTGTAGTACAATTTCAGAAAGATCCATACACTTACACACAAGTTATTGTCATGAAACTAGAAAAATGCTTGTTTTTTGCCCCTTTTTTGGCCCCTAATTCCTAAAATTTTGAGGCAATTACCCCCAAAATCAATCCCAGCATTCCTTTAGTGATATGGAACCTTGTGGTACAATGTCAGAGAGATCCATACACTAACACACAAGTTATGTCTGGAAGTTACAAAAATGCTTATTTTTGGCCCCTTTTTCCTTTACTGTTATTACCATAACCCCCAAAATCAATCCCAACCTTCCTTTTGTGGTATTGAACCTTGTGGTAAAATTTCATAAAGATCCATTCACTTAAACTAAAGTTAGAGTGCGAAAAACCAATGTGTCTTCGGACGATGCCGGACAACGACGACGCCAACGTCATACCAATATACGACCACAAAATTTTTTTTGTGGTCGTATAAAAATGCTTGTTTTTGGCCCCAAATTCCTAAACGTTTAGGGCAATTACCCCAGAACTCAAACCTAGCTTTCCCAATGTGATATGGAACCTTGTAGTACAATTTCATAAAGATCCATACACTTACACACAAGTTATTGTCCTGAAACTAGAAAAGTGCTTCTTTTTTTAGCCCCCAATTCCTAAAATTTTGAGGCAATTACCCACAAAAATCAATCCCAGCCTTCCCTTTGTGGTATGGTACCTTGCAGTACAATTTCAGAGAGATCCATACACTTGAACACAAGTTATTTTCTGGAAACTAGAAAAATGCTTATTTTTGGTCCCTTATTCCTAAACGTTTTTGTGAATTACCCCCAAACTCAATTCCAGCTTTTCCTTTGTGATATGTAACCTTGTAGTACAATTTTAGAAAGATCCATACACTTACACACAAGTTATTGTCATGAAACTAGAAAAATGTTTGTTTTTTTACCCTTTTTGGCCCCTTATTCCTAAACATTTTGGACAATTATCCCCAAACTCAATTCCAGCTTTCCCTTTGTGATATGGAACCTTGTAGTACAATTTTAGAAAGATCCATACACTTACACACAAGTTATTGTCATGAAACTAGAAAAATGATTGTTTTTTGCCCCCTAATTCCTAAAATTTTGAGGCAATTACCCCAAAAATCAATCCCAGCATTCCCTTTGTGATATGGAACCTTGTGGTACAATGTCAGAGAAATCCATACACTAACACACAAGTTATTGTCTGGAAATCACAAAAATGCTTATTTTTGGCCCCTAATTCCTTAACTGTTGGTACCATAACCCCCAAAATCAATCCCAACCTTCCTTTTGTGGTATTGAACCTTATGGTAAAATTTCATAGAGATCCATTCACTTAAACTAAAGTTATTGTGCGAAAACCAATGTGTCTTTGGACAACGCCATGCCAATATACAATCGCAATTTTTTTTTTGCGGTCGTATAAAAACATAAGATATGATTAATAGTTCTCTAAAAATAGATATGATGTAATACAGTGTATATCTATTTTCAAATTATAATCAAATATAATTAATAGTTCCAAATATTTTTTCTTTCATTTGTCACAAACTAATATAGATTTGTAACTTACCTATAAAATGTCAACAACTTTTATCTACACAATGTAATGTATTGAAATATATACGTTAATAAAAATAGATTATTATCTAATTAAAGGATTTCTCTTCATAATTTTTTAAATATATATAGCATTCAGAAAATTAGTTTATACTAAATATCAAACAAACCTGCCAAAAAATTCTTCAAATAATTTAACAAAGAATGTCTTTTTTAAAATGAGTTATCTCCCTTAGTACAGAAATATGGTTTTACACAGTTCTCTTACATTAGATATGGTCCAGAGTTATGGTCCATGACTCAGGACTAAATCATCAGACCGGAACAAAATTCGAACTTGATCTATAACTTGTCATGATAAAACTATATATTCAATCAACATCTTCAAGAACAAAAAAAAAGTGTGGAAAGCTGATTTGCCGGACTGACGGATGGACAGACGGACGGAGTACAAACCTAAAGTCCCCTTCGACTTCGTCGGTAGGGGACTAATAACTTAAAGGTCTACAACTCAACAACGAGAACAGCTAAAATCATGAAAATTGAACTTAGTCACAGGAAACAACATATCTAAATTTGAAACTATCTAAAAGTGTTTTCATGTTAATGAATGGACACTGTTTTGCAGCTGCCTGCCGTACTTCCCAAAATCATAAAGCATTCTGTGAGTATTGCATGGCAATACATAGTCCCCTACTGGTTACAAATTCATAGTAATTGAACAAAATTCTAACTTGATCAATAACTTGTCATGGTGTAAACTACATAAATATATCCAGTCAAAATCTTCAAGCATGACGAAAAAAACTGTTGAAAACTGATTATTTAAGTGAATTTTCTATGTCCAAAGACCATAACTCTGCACAAAATTATCAGACTGGAAAAAATTCCAACTTGAACTGTAACTTGTCAAGATAAAACTATATACTAATTATCAAATCAATATCTTCAATAATGACAAACAAACCTACCACTAAATTCTTAAAACAATTTACCAAGAAGGAAAAAAATCCAAAATGTCATTTTGTCTTTTAAAAAATGAGTTATTTCCCTTTGAACAGAAATCTACTAATTAATAAGTTTTTCATCAAAAATTTAATTCTAGGGCTTTAACTGAACAAAGAAAATAGCTAAATTCATAAAAATTGAACTTGACATGATAAATCAATAAACCAAATATCAAATCAATATCTTAAAGCACAAAGAAAAAAAGTCTGGAAAACAAATTTGCCGTGCTGACAGATGGAGTGCAAACCTAAAGTCATTGTGTGAAAGTCTTGATAAGCTCCTGCTAACACACACTTCATAATCCCTGTAACAACATTTATGATTTATATAAATAGGGAGAAAAATATACAACTACATTAAATAGTAAGTACATTTGTGTACATTTATTTTACATATTTCCAATACAAGACTTAACATTCATCTCAAAATGAGTATTAAAATGTAGTATGAATAAAAAGACAGAAAATATGTGTAATGAACATCCGATCCTCTAACAAAGTCTCTAAAAAAAGTTGGTTGTCAATTTCATCTAAAAATTTTAAGTATATTTAAAGTTTCTTCTGTGAGGTAAAAATATAAATATCTACACAAAAACACTATCTACATGATCCGCCAAACAACATTCATGTCTATATGATGGTGACTACAATGAGACGAGATCATTTATTTCTTCTTTCCCTTTCCTGCTTTCTTTGCAGTCTTTTTTGCTCCTGCTCTTTTTACTGCCTTCTTTGCTCCTTTTTTGGGAGATTTCTTTGGAGCTTTTGCCTTGGCTAAAAATAAAACAGGGCTTCATTAATTCTATTCAAATACAACCTTTTAATTTAAAAATCATTATTGCATTTATTTATGGTTTATTTTAATATTTGTATGATCTGGTCAATAAATATTCAGTTGATTTGTTCATATTCCTGATTGAGCATAGACTGGTACACACATTCAATGGATATTTTCCTTTTATCAATCTACTTCACATGGGACTTTTTATAGTTTGCTTTTCTTTCATTTTAACCAAATTTTATACAAAATATAAAATTTGCTGGAGAACCATTTTTTTATTTGAAGGAGCAACATTTTTCATGTAGTTTTCCTTTTGTGATTTTCATCTTAAGAGTTAAGGTCGATCTTCTTAAAAAGATTCAACTTACTAGATGTGTGTTCAAATATTTTTCAACCATTATCTATATATGATACAATTAATTCTCAAAACAATGCAATTTTCAAAATGATACTAAAAAGCTTACGATTAATAACCTACCTGCACTATCACCAGCTGCGGCCTTCTTAGGTCTTCCACGTCCCTTTGTAGCTGCCATTATGAGCAATAACTGGAAAACACAAAATTATATAAAAGTTAAGTGTATTTATTTATGTTCATATCTATGTGTTGACAAATATGGCTGTTTAAATTTATTCACGAATTTTACGGAGTACAGACAAACATGTGCAACTTCATAGTTGTATTAATATACATGTAAGGAATGATAAATAAAATTAAATGCTTTGAATACTTTTTCTGCATATTTGAAGTACTTTCTCCCCTGCCCCTTCAGGTGCCAAATTAAAACTTAATTGAATTTGAGGGTCTTAAAGGGGGTTACTTGCACGGACAGAATGAAAATAAAACCATGATGAACAAAATATAGTAAACACATTTATTTTTTTCAATTTTATAACACAGTGAATAATGAGCTTCAAGCACGAAAACATGTGGAACAAAAAGGGCAAACATTTTGCATGAGAAATTATAAACACCCCCTGTTTTACAAAAACACCCACACAATAACACTATTGGTTTATTCTGTGGGGGTGCCATATGGAACTTTCCCTTAACCCTCAACCACCCACTGGAAACGAGTGGACCGCAACATGTCAAATTCCAGTGTTTGTTATATAATTAATTAGTTTACCATCTTCTGCATACTTCAGGTTCATGTAGATCCTTTGACTAAAACGGCTGCATTTTCACCCGACCTCAAAATTTACTGAATGCAGACAAACCTGAGTATCTGGAAATTTTTTAAGGCATACCATGCTCTTGATAAATAAAATTCAATTACATTTTCTCTTTAAGAAAACTAAAAACATAACTGGATTTTTGCAGTGCACTTTTGTTCATTCCTCCAGAAGGTGCCAAAATAAACAAAGTTTGGAAAGAGGTTTGAGAACTTCCTTACAGGTAAAATTATAATTGAAGTGAACTTTATTGAATGACAAAGACAATAGATACCTAACAATAATTGGTGATTTAAAATTGTGTACCTGAGTGGACCATATCAAGTGAAACTCTACCTTTAGTTAATTTTATCTACTGCAGGGACGAAAACAAGTGCACTGCAAAATTCAGTTGTTTATACTTTTTTAAGAGAGAAAATGTATTTGAATTTTATCTATCTAGAGCATGCTATGCCGTAAAAAATTTCCAGATACTCAGGTTTGTCTGCACTGTAAATTTTGAGATGAATATGCTGACATTTTAGCCAAAGCCAGGGTCCAAATGAACCTTAAATAAAAGAAATTGTCATATAATTTCTGATAATTTCTTTCTTGTAGTTATTAGATACAGTGGTTTGTAGGACAACAAAAACATATCCCTAATCCAAAATTTTCAGTGTTCTTAAATCAAACATTAAAATGGAGAAGAATATAAAATAATCTTCCCTAAATTTGTGTGCGAAAGAATTTTTTCACGTCTCGTCAGGGTCTGATAAAATAAATAAAACAAAATTATTATTTTCACATGTCTCTATTAAAAAAAGAATCACGCATGGTTATTTTTAACAACAAACCTTTCCTGCAACATGAAATACTGAATTTTCACAAGAAGATTGTTCAATGGCGGACAAAAATATTGACGTCCTGATAAAAACAAAACAGAATAAAACGAGTTGATTGGGTAAAATGAAAGTGAAAGCTACAAACAAGCAACGAAGTGCAACAAAATTATGATTTCATATCCTGTTAAAAGCATTCTTTGTGACAATCCGGTGCAAATATGCAGTTATTTTGCAATTCTAATTTTACCACTTACCAATTACTTCAAACTTGATAACTGTACAGACGCTAACGGTTGAAAAAAAGAAATCAACACCTAAGAGCGGGATTTGAAAATTGATCCAATCAAAAAGTATGTTACAGTGCCAAATTTATTTCTGCCCAATCAAAACTTTCGTTGAAAATTTGTATACGTCATTTTGACCGACGCGCCCTTTGACACAGTGTTTGATTGGCTGAACCGGGTCACCAAAACCAAAAATAGAATGCGGTTATTTACTATTTGGTTACCGTAAATATACCAATAAAATTTTCTGAATATTTGACTGAGACAAGGCGAGGACGTATATACCCGTAGCCAACTTGTCAAGTGTCCGATGTTTTCTCGGACGTCCGCGTCCTGATCTAATTCATGAAAATATATTTTGAAGAGGTTTTATATAAACAAGCAAATAAGAAAAAAGTAATTTATATTTAAATCAGAGAATATAATAAAGCATTCATAATAATTAATAATGTCTGTTTTTAAAATATTAGGCGGGAAATACGAATAGACACCACATATACTACTGTTATTGTTATATCTTATTGATAAGTACAAGAACACATTCAATAAGTGAAAGCCGGCAGAGATAAAATTATATGCATATAGTTTATACTTAGTTTTTAATCAATCTATATTCGTCAAATACTCACTATAGTAAAGTGCTTTTGAGAGTCTAGAGCCTCTTTGTAGTCTTAATGCTCTCTTTTTTTATTTACTATCCATGATACTGATTTTCAAAACATTGTTAAGTTTGCATTAACAATGTGTTTTTCATAAGAGCAGCCCCCTTAAAAGATCAAATACTTGCTCCCTTATATAATGGTAATTTTTCTGATTGTTGAAAAGTGCATGTGCGGTTTTTAGGCCTTTCAAACAAACACAGTTTAATTATAACCTTTATTAATAAATTTAGCCAAAGAGAACGATTTGAAGGACAATTCCTTAACTTGTTAGCTTATACAAAATATTACAGAAACGAAACCTCTGAGTAATGCGGCGAAATACAGCGAGGGCTTATGCTTGTATGACCACATATTTTATTATTTCCTGCTTCTGTTGTTTGTCAGATTGTCCTCAGTATAATACTAGACGTGTTTGTAGTAATGCTGCTGATTGAGAGGTCTAGAGAAATGTCCCCTGAACGTAATTAAAATTGGAGCCATCAGAATCAGAAACTTTCTTTAATCTTTACTCTGAGACAAATCTACACATGCAGTATCACAGTCTTACATGTACTTTGATGTATTATTTCGGAACTAAGTCTTATAGCCTTATTATAAATGGCCAAAGATGTATCAAAACTGCAATCAGTCTGAAAGTGAAAGATTACGGTCACTAATTTCGAGTATCCCCCCTTTTTTTAAAGAACGAGAAAGGGCATTATTAACGCAATTCAGTTGTTACAGCATTGCATTTTGTTTATTGTGTTAAAGTACCGTGTCTTGCATGCATTTGAAACCATTTTTTTTGTTTGATTTAAGTAAATGAAATATATATTATATACATAACATATTATAAGTTTATTATTGTTGATTTCTGTGTCATTTGGTCTTTTGTGGAGAGTTGTTTCATTGGCAATCATACCACATGTTCTTATTTTTATATTGTGGAATATATATCATATATAACATACATGTATTATCTTATTACGATTTGTGTTTAGAGTCTTCATATTTTACTATACTTTTCAGTTGTGAGTTGACGGATAGAACAAAATATAACTAACGCTAAAATCACAACCAGTTATGCATAGGAATAGGAGAGGGTCTGGTTGGCCGGGTGCTTCATTTCTATATTCTATCATTTTTATACCATAGTTCTCTATTCTTTATCCCATTATTCTCTAATCTTTATAGTTACGCACCCCATTATTCTCTTTCCTTATATTTGTGTCTATTTTTCTCTATTCCTAATTTTCCTCTTTATTCTACACTTTTTGTCCATTATTCTCTGTTCTGTAAACTCCATTCAGACCTTCATAGAAATGTAATGTGCTTCTTGATGCTCCTCTGTCCAATGTTAACGTACATATAACCGGCAGTCTTTCCCTAGCTTTCAAACTGTACACTTGTGAATAAATTTGTATATGCTGTATACGGTCTTGCGTTTAAAGCAGCCACATTGTCGATTATAGACCAACAGACTTAAAGGTAACCCGTACCGAAATTCACGGGGTTACAATTCAGTGGAATATAACCGGACGAAAAGTGACATTGGGAACTTTTACCATAATTCGAAAAGTGCTTTATATGAACTCTCGTTTTAGATTGAATATTTATATGAACTCTCGTTTAAGATTGGATATTTCTATGAACTCTCGTTTTAGTTTTAAATTGAATATATATGATGACACACGCACAAATCAACAAGTACTTTAATCTCTTACTTGAGTTCTAAAAAAGCCTGTCACACTATTTTTGTAGTCGAAACCACGATTTTCTAGGCATACATATTCTTAATGATCATTATGTAAAAGTTTGAACCCATTTCAATGCCACGTTAAATAATTTGAGTTTGATTCCTGTGTGAATGACAGTACCAAAAGCCCTATCTACTTTTGTTAAACAATGCTTATCAATAAACATATGTAAGGAAGCCGGGCCCACCTAGATATACATTTGAATTCGAGATCACAAATATAAAAAAAAAATCGTAAATACGATTTAAAATTGTGATCACGAACAAAAATCGGATTAAAATCGTTATCACGAATTTAAAAGATCTGTGATAACGAATTCATTCCGTGATCACGAATAACAAAATATGTAATAACTTATTCCATTGATTCGTGATCACGAATTTAATCCGTGAAAACGAAATATATAATTGGTGATAAAGAATCATACAACACTTTATAACGATTTTAAGCCGTGATCTCGAATTCAACATATACATTATTTTGGAAGGTCAAAAATGGGCTTCCGTACATCTAAGACTACTATAACACTTAGACTAGTCTCTACATATGGTAAGATGTTCGTGTACTTTTTGTGAAACCAGAGACATATATACACATATGTCTCTGGTGAAACCAATCTGGTTTAACTTTGATACTATAATATATAATATATTAGTCCTAGATTAAACAAATTATTTTAATAATGTCTATGACATATATGTTTTGCAAAATCAGCAACATTTAAATGATACTTTCATACAATTATGACATTTAATCTTTTATAATCATTTACACTGATCAGGGGCGGATTCAGGCGGGGGCGTGGCGGGCGTGCGCCCCCTAAAATTTGCAAAGCATGGGTTGTCCTCAGCTTAATAAAGAATATTTCGATAATTTTACCTCAAAAAATTTCGCCCTGCTCCGCTTGGCGAAAATTTAAGTTAGCACTCCCCTAACCTAAAATCCTGGATCCGCCCCTGCTGATAGTTCAAACTTTGTCTTAGTCATTATAGACAGTCCGACGTGTTGACCTAATCATTAGTCGGTCCGAGTTGTATCCGGGCCGAGTTACCCTATATTCAGTAAAACCATACGTTGTTCTCTCCCTTGACAAAGTCCATCGTGGTAAGGTTGAACGTGATAATTATGTTTCATCTCATTTTTAAATGTTTGAATGACATCCCACACTAAAATTCATAGCATTATATTCATAAGACATTATTTTTTTACTGTGAAATAGACATGTCATTGTTTATTTACCTTGCAATGTAGTTTCTTTGGCAAGACGAGCACCCCATGTGTCCTCCCCTTTTATTTAAAGTCACAATTTAGAAAGGACCACTTTAATGTCATTATTTGACATTCAATATCTCATGTATCATTATTACACGACTGTGGCCCCTCACAAAGGACTGTTTTAGAGACCACTTATTTTGATGGTAGTTATAAATGAAATCAAATTTGGGTACAGACGTGCAGCTGGTTTTAAAAAACACCCCCTCCCCGGGAGCGTCTTTCTACCACAGAACACCACAGAATACCACAGAACACCACAGAACACCCAAAATTTACCACAGAACTTCGAAATAATAATACTTCAGACATTATTATCGTGTAATTGTTAATTCTTTTTATAATTTGACATTCATTATTCAAATAAAATTTAATTTTTCTATTTAGGGTCGACTCATTAACGCTACGCCCCCAACTGAATGGTCAATATAAATTGGGATCATACCGAAAACCCCTAGCTATTAAAACCATAATATATTTATATTTGTGACATTTATATTTTAAATACATTTTAATCTTTTTTGTAATTTTAATTCATTTTTGAAAATGTTTAGATACATTACATAATTATTTATTAAAGTGATTAATGAATTTATTTGTTAAGCTGATATCTAGAGTTGTTCAAACAATTGGCGAATGTGTGTACATCAAAGTTTCTCCGTTTATAGAGTTAAAAAATGTATATATAAAACTTCAAAAAGATATCTAAAGTTGTTGTAGAACAGTAATATTTGAGTTGACTTATAACATATTCAACAATTATCACTGAACTAGTATATATATTTGTTTAGGGGCCAGCTGAAGGACACCTCCGGGTGCGGGAATTTCTCGCTGCATTGAAGACCTGTTGGTGGCCTTCTGCTGTTGTCTCTTCTGTGGTCGGGTTGTTGTCTCTTTGACACATTCCCCATTTCCATTCTCAATTTTATAAGTGTGTCTTTTTAATTGTCAATTAAAAGTTCAAGCTCGATGACTGTTTTTGGAATCTTATGTTGTGTGTGTATCTTCTCCAATCATTTAACAATATTTCGGATTTTTACCAAATTTTGTATGCATTTAGAAATCGTTGAACTGAGCATTTACATATATATTCTATATTTTTTAGTCCAAAATTAATGTTGACCATAGCAAGTTCACCGACACAATTAAAGTACCGAAATTTAATTAGATTAACCAATTTTGACACTTGTGGTAATCACTAATTAACCTGTCATTTAAATTATCACACCTGAGACATCAAATACATTTAATTGAATTATCTTATATAATCAGGTGGCAGCTAGAATCCAAACAATGAAGAATTTTGTAAATATTCAATTATTAATGATATATATATTATATTAAATAGAATGTTGAAAGTAGTCTTCCTGATCTAATTATTGTCAAGTCATTTCAAGAATAAAATTTCAAGATTAAAATGTGAACCGATGATCACCATCATTTTAGTTGGAAAATTAAAATTATTGTCTTATAGATTTATTAATTTCACAGAATAAATAGTTACATATGAGAAATATTAGCTCTTTCTTAATTTCACGAAAAAATATTGTAAAACAAAAGAGTTTTAACACTTTTTATCGATCAGTTCAATATATTCAAAGCGTATATTGATCAGCGATTGAGAAAACCGTACAGTAATTTTTTTTTTGCTAAAAACTATTTTTTTAAATGTTTATTTTAGATTTTCATTATTACAATGCATTAGTTTAGTGTCTCAAAGGTCTCCAAATGTAAACAAAATATGGCAAATAACAAAAAAGTAATGATAATTTTTATCTCATCCAGTCAATCATCATGTCATTGGTGTAACACGAATTAAAGAAATAATATAATTCGGAATTATTAGATTTGCGTTTTATAAAGTAATTTTACTGTTCTGTGGCATATTTCAGTAGTATTGTTGTAATTTGTGTAGTTCTGTGGTACATTTTGAGTGTTCTGTGGTATTCTGTGGTGTTCTGTGGTAAAAAGACGCTCCGCCCCCTCCCCTCCTTATTCATACATTGATTTATGCAAAAATCCCTACCCATTCATATATTACAAAGCAAAATCACAACCCATTTATATATATTTCCCACCTTTCATGACATCTTATTTAGAACACATGGGATCATTCATATTATTAGATAAAAAGATCAGTACACAGTTTTTACAAACATCTTAACAGGAGATGAACATTTATGACCCATTGACATATACATTCCTACCCATTGATATATTACCTCTGTGAAATTGCAACCCGTTGATATATATTTGACATTCTAAATAAGTGTCCCATACCTGGCAGCGGCATGTCTGTGAATACATTGTACCTTTATATTGGTAGAGACACCCCATGGTACTACCTACCATTCTAAATATTAAATGGGTTTGAAGTTGGTTGTAGAACATTAAAAAAAATGAAAACAACACTTTATAAATTTCATGGATCTGCAGAGCTTTTATAATAATTGCAAGTGATAATTCTGTATTTCAATCTTTTAATTCTGGTGGTCAAGTCTAAATGGTCCACAATTTTTGTCAACTCTCTTACATCTGGGTTACTGTACCAGGGGTTTAGGGAGCTACCATTTGATTTTTAGGGGGGGGGGGGCTAGGATGAAAAATTTTGTCATGTATTTTGTTTTAGTTGTAATCTGTCCTGCCTTTTTATTTTTCACTTTATTCGATCCTGCCTTTTTTTTTTATTAGTTTATCCTGACTTACTTTTTTTACATAAATTGTCATCCTGCCTTTTTTTTTGCCTAGTTGCTCATCCTGCCTTTTTTTCAAATGAAAAATTTTGTTGTGCATTTTGTTTTAGTTGTAATCTCAGTCCTGCCTTTTTATTTTTCACTCTATTGGGTCCTGCCTTTTTTAGTCCTCTACCGACGAAGTCGAAGGGGACTTTAGGTTTGCACTCTGTCCGTCTGTCTGTCTGTCCATCTGTCAGTCCGGCAAATCAGTTTTCCAGACTTTTTTTTCTTCGGGCTAGAAGATATTGATTTGATATTTGGTTTATTGTTTTATCATGACAAGTTACAGGTCAAGTTCAATTTTCAGCTTTTCTCTTTGTTCAGTTAAAGCCCTTTCCCTAAAATTTAATTTTTGATGAAATACTTATTAATTAGTAGATTTCTGTTCGAAGAAAATAACTCATTTTTTGAAAGATTATTTTGGATTTTTTTCCTTTTCTTTGGTAAATTGTTTGAAGAATTTAGTGGTAGGTATGTTGGTCATTCTTGAAGATATTGATTTGATAATTAGTATATAGTTTTATCATGACAAGTTGCAGATCTGACAAAATGGAATTTTGTTCCGGTCTGATGATTTTGTGCAGAGTTATGGTCTTTGGACATAGAAAATTCACTTAAATAATCAGTTTTCAACAGTTTTTTTATACGACCGCAAAAAAATTTTGTGGTCGTATATTGGTATGACGTTGGCGTCGTCGTCGTCGTCGTCGTCGTCGTCGTCGTCGTCTGGCGTCGTCGTCGTCGTCCGGCGTCGTCGTCCGAATACATATTGGTTTTCGCACTCTAACTTTAGTTTAAGTGAATGGATCTTTTTGAAATTTGACCATAAGGTTAAATACCACAAAAGGAAGGTTGGGATTGATTTTGGGGGTTATGGTACCAACAGTTAAGGAATTAGGGGCCAAAAAGGGGCCAAAAATGAGCATTTTCTAGTTTCCAGACAATAACTGTGGAACGGTGTATGGATCTCTCTGAAATTATACTACAAGTTTCCATACCACAAAGGGATGGTTAGGATTTGCTTTGGGGGGTTATGGCTCAAACTGTTTAGGAATTAGGGGCAAAAAAGGGGGAAAAACAAGGTTGTCCTGGTTAATGGACAAATACTTTAGTACAAAACATAATTTAAAGCAGTGTAAGGGAGATAAATCAAATACATCATTGAAATTATCTCCCTTACACTGCTTTTAAATTATGTATAAAGTAATGGTTAATGAACAATAAAGATAATCTAAAACAGTGTAAGGGAGGTAATCCAAATACAACGTTTTGGTTACTTCCCTTACACTGCTTTTAAATTATGTTTAAAGAAATGCATATTTATAAAGGAAGACCAGTAAAAATATCTGCAAATGTTTTCATCTTTTTTTTTTACAAAAAAATCCATATGAAAGATTTGACACTATATTTTTATTAATTCTATTATAAAATAGATTAAGTTAGCACTATGGTAAATTTAAATGGGTAATTATGGTTGCCAACTCCATTGGAAATTTGAATTGAGATTATGACCATATCTTGAGGGAAAGAATTTTTTTGGGGGAAAAAGGGGGGGGGGATAAAAAGAAATTGTGGGGGGCCAATTTTTTCTCATTTCAGATTTCAGAAATTAAAAAGAATTATTCTTCAAATATTATTTTTTTTTCAAATTTCAAATATTGAAAAATTTCAAGAAGTAATCTTTAATTGCACAGTATGGCGCATTAGATTTGTAAAATCTTTGATCACATTTATTTATTTGTTATGCCGAATCTAACAGTGTATTTGGATTTTTAATTTTGGGTCCAGTTTTCAAATTGGTCTACATTAATGTCCAAAGGGTCCAAAATTAAACTTTGTTTGATTTTAGCACAAATTGAATATATGAGGTTCTTTGATATGCTGAATCTAAACATGTATTTAGATTTTTGATTTTTGGCCCAGTTTTCAAGTTGGTCCAAATTGGGGTCCAAAATTAAACTTTGTTTGATTTCAACAAAAATTGAATATATGGGGTTCTTTGATATGCTGAATCTAACCATGTATTTAGATTTTTTATTTGTGGACCCCGTTATCTAATTGGTTCATATTGAGGTCAAAAGGGTCCAAAATTAAACT